CTATATCTGACTCTTTTAGTTTTAGGACTTACAAACAACCGTTATGTGAACAAAACTATAATACTCTCTTTAGCAACTTTGTTGCGAGAGTATAAAAATTTCCACGCGATGGAATCCACGTTTTTTGAATATCGGTCAAAGAGACACCAAGGAACAATGTGGCATTGATAAAAAAAAATTTCTCTCGATTTGTGATAAGGAATGAGATATGTGTTCATCATCACTCACCTCAACAGCCAAAATCAATGAAAAGCGTCCAAAGTGTTCAAAAATAAATTAGTCATCCGGAAAAGCTTTCGCCAATAATTTTTGGGATTCGTACATTATCAATAAACAATTAGTACTATTTGATCTTTAGAATTATGAGATCCAAGTTAAGTCAAATTATTGGGCTTGGGACTTTTCATACCAATTATTTTGTAAATTTTATAGTGAGTCCTTCTAAAAAGAACTCACAAATTAATTTTGATAAGAAAATATGCCATATACAGTCCAATTTAATTTGCACGATAATGGTAATTAATTTCAATCCGAGCCGTCCAACAATTATGGAATTACCGAATTGCATATGCAAGTAAATTCATGGAAATCCAATCGATTCTTTATAATATTGAGGTTAAAAAGTGCCAACAAAACTTCTCCGAAATCCCTATTATGTATTGGAAATAATATTTTTAGCAAAAAATATCGTCGGAAAGCAAAAAAAAAGCAAGTGGCACTAAGAAGTTTATAAAATTACTTATTGAATTATAAAACAATCAAAGATTGTTATTAAATAGTACATTTCAAAACCCCGCAGTAACACCAACAATCTTTTATTAATCATGGGAAACGAGGTAGAATTTCAGTGAATAGCAACGGTTATATCATAACTTGGTGTTTAGAGTAGCTTAATCGCAAATATGATTGCATATACATATGTATATACTTATTTATATTAAAGTACATATATTCATGAGAAGCTAATTTTTAAACAGAGGTGATTTAAGCATGCAAGACTTAAACGAAATTTTATTTTATAACCATATCTTCAAATATGAAGAATGTTTTAAATTTTCTTCTAATATTTCTAATAAAAAATTTGGTTTAAAGGTGATCTCTAAGAATTACTTTTAAGAATATGTTTCCCACATTTTACCGATTTAAAATATGAATTAAAAAAAATGGTTAACCGATTTTCGCTCGACTCAGGAGGTTTCAGGCCAGAAAAGAACATATACTCGTTATGTATGTATTTACTATTATTTGTATTATTGGAAAATATGTATGTAACGTATTGCTAACTGTAATTTTTAAGCACACGATGATTTAGGCAATTATTAAATAGGTTTTAGATATATTTTACGGGTCGCTGACGGTTAAAACCCCAAAACCAGAAAGTAAATAGGCAAAACTGAATTTTTCGGGAAATACCTGAATGAGAATATGACATGCGAACCAACAATGTGTGAAATGTATATAATAAATATATACATACATACGCATGTGAATATATAGGCATTAATGTGTGCGTTCCCTTTCACAATTGTGTATTGTATATGTATGTTAATGTGTTAAAATATTATATAGATAAACATGTAGATATATGATTGAAAGCCTGTGTTTGACAAAAATCTGCGATTTGAAGATGAATTTAAGCACTTGATTGATTGCTTGCATTTAGTCATTCTTAAGTGTAATAAAATACTAGGGCTGTTCTTATAAGCATGAATATCTCTAAAAATATATTGTACAGATTTTATGAAATTGGAGCAGGGAAAGGTTTGGTATTTGTTATAATAAGATTTTTTTATAATATTCCGTTTTATTAACAGGGAGAAACATTTTAAAAAAGTTAATGGGTTGTTAAGTTCTACACACCTCTAGAATATTGTCCTAAATTTTCAAGTTGATCCGAGTAATAGTTTCGGAAATACAGCCCCGAGCATTTGTACACTCGAGGCTAGCTCGGCTAAGTGCGCCGTCATTAAATGCATTTTTCTGGAAACTGTGTTTTTGAAGTCGGTTGGCAAGATTTCTCGAGAACTACCCAACCGATCTTCATGAAACACAGGCCTTTCAGATACAGTGCTTAAAGACTTGAGCGAAGAATTTCCTTCGATTACAACTATTTGAAAAAGAGTATAGCGAAATTTTCACTAAAATTTTTATTTTTTTTGTCAAAATGTCTGCTAAAAATCCAATTTAAAATTTTTTTTTTTATCCAAGTTGTAAGTTAAGGATTTAACTAAAACACGTTTTTTTCACTTTAGATGCTTCTGTAAGGTGTTGTCTTGACATCGCAGGCGCATCTTTCTTCCGTGGGGTCACCGGAAATGGCGTCGCAATGGCCGAGTTTAAAATATTTTTAAAAAATAATTTCAAAATGTCTTCACTAATAGTGTGTGCTTATAACCATAATAATTGTAGTGAAATATTACATTTTTTATATGAGAAAAAAAATTTTGAAAAAAGGTCGTTTTTTCTAAACCGAGAAAACCCATGTAACCCCATAAGGTCAGATAAATTGAAACGATATTTATGTTTGTACAAATAATCGTAAATTAAGTTATTATTAAATAGAATGGATTTTGTGAAATGTATACATATGCAAATTCATACTTATTAAATGATTCAGGCACTGACAGAATAAATGACTTACGTGCCGAGGATAAACCACACAAAAAAGCAGCAAAGCAGAAGACGCTAATTAACACCGGTTTTAACATAGTGGACTGGTGCTAGTCTCTGCTAAGTCAAATATAACTTTCGCCTTTGTTGTTATTTTGTTCTTTTTATGAATTTTCGGTAGGGCGAGTTGATATTATACATGCATATGTGTATATATTTTCATTTAACTATAGGCTTTGCCCTTCAGCAAACACTTTTTATGATTTGCGTTCAAGTTTTATTATTTAAATTACTAACTACGCTTTTAGTCAATTCGAAATGCACACAAAAAGTCAATGTACTCAAAATAGAAATGATTTTATTATTTTCGATTTTATTTCACAGATAATTTCACTCTGTGTTTTGTTTTTTTGTTGCAAATTGATTGCGTTTAGCTGAGCAAATATTAATGCTTCGACGTCAAATGAACACACAACGAGTTTGTAATTTGCATTAATTAATTAATTCACAAGTAATAATCAAATCCGTTTTTTATTGAGGCAGCGAACTTTTGCGCGTGAATATTTTTAGTGTTACCCGGCGGCCGAATATTGTCGAGTTATAGCAAGAATCACATTTGCGCTTTCTTATAACTGAGATTACGACAAGTGTCGTTTCACATCGCAAAGACAACTGAGAACTTGAGAAGATGCTGTCGGCAAGTCTACTCCAAAAATCTCCAGAGCGGTATTTAGAAACCTGTCAGTTGGCACAAATTTTCACAGCAATCCGGCGCTTAAGTGTAGATTTACCAAGCTTCTCACGAAATGGCGATTATTACTAGTTATTATAAGCTTTTGTTTTTATTTTTATATACACATAGCGTTTGCTTGATTCTGTTGATGTAAGAGTACGCGCAAAGCTAATTTCTCTTAATTCTTTTACCATATGTAATCGTAAGCTTTGTTGTTATAATCGGCTCTATGTGAGCAAAAGGACGTTTTAATAATTTTAGTAACTCTCTCAAAAGAGAAAAGCTCGATTTTTGGTAAAAAGTAATTGATAACAAAGATTTATTATACTCAAAAAAAAATATATATATATTATAGATCTTAAAAATATCTTTAATTAAATCGTATTTCGTATTCACGAAATCACACGGCTAAAGCTTCTTTTGTAAGATTTGTATACCCTGTACGGATACTATTATGTTAACCATTAAGTTTATAATACCCAGAAGCTAGGCCTATTTAATCATGTCCGTAAGTGTGTATATACGAGTAAACTATACCCCCAGTATTTGAGTTATCGATCTAAAATTCTGCAAATCTGTTCTTTCCAAGAAGCTGCTCGTTTGTCGAAATCACTAATATCGGACCATTATACGAGTATTGTAGGATATAGATTTGGTATAGATTATTGTTCAGCGCAATGCTACAACCTCAGAAGAAAAAGGCAAATCTTATAGCTGGGCTGTTTTCATCCATAAGAACAACATGACCTAGCCAGCATAACCGCTGTCTCTTCATTCGTTGAACTATACCAATGTCGTCGTATATCTCGTACAGCTCATTATTCCATGGATGACGGTATTCGCCGTTTCTCATACGCAAAGGACCAGCAAGGATCTTCCGCAGAAGCTTTCTCTCGAAAACGGGTGACTTGTAGAATTTTGTCTTTGGTCATTGAGAGCGGACTTTACTTCTTAATTGCCTACTCAGTCCGAAGTAGCACCTGTTGGCAAGTTATTTTAGGTTTGATTTCGTGGGGAGTCGCGTGTACGACGACTGTTTATTTGATGACAGGAAATATTTCGTCTTGCCCTCGTTCACCACCATTGCCCATTTGCTTCGCTTCTTTGCCCAACCTGGAGAAAACAGAACTAACGGCGCGGTTGTTATGGCCAATGATATCAAAGTTATCGGCGTACGCCGATTGAATTATTTTCTCTAGGAGTAGATTGAATAAGTTCCACGATGGGGAGTAGCCTTGTCTGAAACCTCATTGGGTATCGAACGGCTCGGAGAGGCTCTTAACGTTCCTGAAGGAGCTTTTGGTATTTCCCAACGTCAATTTATACATTCGAAACGAGTTAGATATCGAACATATACGTATATACTTGTAAAGTCTAATAAAATGATATTCATTACTTTAGAATTAAATTAAAGCCAATCCTCCGGATATTCTCGGAGAGTGAAAATCGATTTGTGTGATCTGAAGTTGTCCTGATAATACACAATATGCTTAATGGACTCGGAGTAATGATCGAAAAAGTTTTCATCTAGATAATTTTCTATATAAGTCGATGTACTAAACTTTTTAAACACATATTCATCACAAAAAAAAAAAGAAAAACAATATCTAACAGTTCGAATCAGGCTAATAATTCGGTAACACTGTTTTATTTTTGTATTTCTTCTATAGTCTAACAACATACACAGTTATGCTTGTAACACAATAATAATTTATAGCACATTGAAAATTATTACACCAATTAACCTATTATGGTTCTATATTGCTCTCAATCCAATCTATGAAAGCACCAACTCTGGTGTAAATCGCCGGCCAATTTGCAACACCGCATAAACTTGGACCAAACGATACTATACCCGCCACAAAATAAGCTGATCTACCATTTACGATATCTTGAAACATTAGTGGACCACCAGAATCGCCGCTGCAAGTATCGCTGCCTCCGTCACCACCGGCACACAATTGTGAACTCTGCAAAGGTATATTATATAAAACAGAATATTTGTCTACACATCCGCTGAAGTCTTTAATCTTAATTGTAGTTTTCAATTTAACGGGATTATTATTTGTCTTCTCAGTTTTACCCCAACCGGCCGCATCCATTACGTAAGTTAAGAATGTAGCATTACGAAGACTTGGTGATCTCGGTAAACAAATTGGTTGGATATAATCACTGAATGGCACCGACGCTGTGAGACGTACCAAAGCAATGTCGTTAGGATCATTATGTTTTCCATAACCTGGATGTGTTGTGATCCGTTCAATGTCGTTACTTCTATACTTGGGTGCACAACCATCCGCTGTGCAATCGGGATCTGTGCGTGTGTCCCATTCGCCTAAACGTATACTGGTCAAACGCCAACCAAATGGAATGTCTTTCTCAAAAACGCAATGCGCCGCTGTTAACACATATCGATTGTTTATTAATACTCCGCCACAATGAAACCCTTTTCCACCATTACCTGAGCAAAATAGATTATATGTAAATTGCGATTAATATATACATATTTCATATTTGTATGTAGGAGTTCACTTACGGTTGGTGTACTCCAACAAGGCCAGCCAAGGAAATTCATCTATCGCCGTCTCGGTGCCACCATAAATACGATTCTCAAGCATTTTTCCGCATTGCGGAAAAGTTGGTAGTAAATTTGAATTGTTGACCTTAATGTTGACGCTGGAAGAGGTGGTGGTTGCAGATGCCTTTAAAGCAACCGATTCTGGGAAAACCATTTCAGCGACAGCTTGTACTGGACGGGGAGTTGTAGTAGCGCTCAGCTTTAGATAATTTGGTGGACAACATATCTGTTGGATTGTATTTATTTATATATCAAATAATAATTATTTTTTTGAGATATTTTGCTTACCAGTACTTTGCCATTTTTATATCCACACTGGCTACTGCGCAAATACATACGATCATTTCGCGAAAGATTTGGATCTAGCACCAATTCGTAGAGGTAGCGACATTCCTCCAAGTTAATGCAAGATCCAGACATGGCACTTGGCGTAAGGCAGGAGTCACCGCTTGTTGCTAAATATGGAAAATGGTGAAGCATTATGTAAGTAATTTTGAAGAATTTTTATAAAATAAACTAAAATATAATTCATTATTTATCATAATATATATATATACTTATTTACAATTAAAAAAAAAAATTACCTAATGGTGGTTTTCAATTCCTTAAAAGAAAGCGAATTATATGAATAAAAATGGTTATCAATGAGCGCTAGCGATTTCCATTCACAGTCGGCCTAGATCATCACGGAAGAAGCACGGTTTAATGACGCCGTCTAACCATAAACCGCACCAAACCGTAATAAATTCGAGATGCAATGGTGAGTCATGGAGTACGTGTGGATTGCTGCCTGACTCATAACTCATATTTTGCTTATTGGCGAAGCCATTCAGCCAGAAATGAGGCTCATCGCTGAAGATAATTTTTCGATGAAAATGCGGATAATTTTCAAGTTGTTGTTCAGCCCAATGCACGAACATACGACGATTCTGGTGGTCAAGTTGCTTCAGTTCTTGTGTCAATTTGATCTTGTAAGATGTAGGCCTGGATCTCTTCGCAAAATTCGTCACAACGACGTCACAGCGATGCCCAACGCTTGAGAACGACGTGTAAGAGACTGATTTGGATCTTCCTCAATTGATGCGCTAGCGGCAGAAATATTCTAGACAACTGTGGATTCAAATTTTTCCACTAGACGCTCAATTGTTGATCGGACAGGACGATTATGACGACCATAAAGTGGACGTAGCGCTCTTAAAGTTGAGACCACTGACTCCTAATTTCGTTAGTAAATTTTAATAATTTCGACTCATGGTTGGATCGTATATATTTCCATGATGAAATGGCAAACCTTACTGAAGATAAATTTCAAAAGAACGCGAAAAAATATGGCGTATTTTGCTGTCCCTATTGATCTACTTTTTTAGCATCCATATTGAAAAACCCGTTAGTATTTCACACTAATTTCGTTAAATATAAGACGAATGCGATATGACGAAGGAACTTACAAATGTACCCTACCTACAAAAATGTATAGTATAGCTTTGAAATTGTTATGTGAAATAATTAGAAAGTTGCATACCTGAACAATAAATTTTCGCTATAAAAGCGCCGAACAGACTTTATAGCCTTTTCAAAAATATAAAATTTGAATTCGCCCAGCAAATTTCGGTTTCATAAATAACACCAAACAGTTTGGAATGTCGTTCGAATATATAAACTTTGAAAGATCTGTTAAATTTTATTAATGGAATATCGATCGTTGTATATTATTAATGTTACGATTTACTATTGGTATTACGATTTTATTAAATAATTTGCGTAACAACAATAAATGTGTTTATTTTTGTGTTTGAAATGAATTGGTCACTAGCAATTAACCTTAACATTATTCACAAATATACATATGTACCCACATATTTACCAGCGAAAATGATAAGAAAATAAGAATTACATGTAAGTACATCTGTACTAGGGTACGCCAAAAACTAACCAATCGAATTCATGGATTAAAATTAACCTAAATAACTAGATACAGAAAAAAATATTATTCCAAGAAAATAGAATACAAATTTTCGAATTGAAAAAATCACAACGAACTTAGGAGCTTTTGTGTTCGACAAGAAACCGCAATGTATTTTATCCTTAACGCTTCAAAATTTGTAGTATTCTCTAATGAAAATTTAAGATTTTAAATTATGATAAGCTAAACATTTTTCCTTGCAGGGATATTTTTTTCACTTTATATAGGTGAGTTTTGTATTACTCTAATATATACTAATATACGTAAATAAATAAAAGTAAATGCGAAAACCGTATTTTCATATCTTCGGTATTTGAAATGAAAACATTTAAATGAAGCGTGAATTTTATACTCACCAGCTGTAACAAAATGTAGCCGAAGTGTTGTCATAATCACCAAAAATATGTAAATATTCAACCGGATTCCCATCGTTCACTGTCAAGATCAAATTTATAAAGTAATTACGAAGTGCCGATCCTTCACGAGATCTCACGTAATTTATATTAAATAAGATTAAAAAATTCCAATTTTATACAAACAAAAAAGTTTTTGATTTTTATATTTATATTTAACTATTTCTGTTCTATTTTCAGAAGCCCACGAAGCGCGCTGCCGATACGTTGCTATTTGACTAGTCTTTTGCTCGAGACTAGCACGTTGTCGCTTGTTCTGTTGGCATTACAATTATCATCTCTCTTAAATTTAGAAGCGCTTCTCGACAAGCGATGCTTCGCTCGTAGATGCAGTTGACCAAGTCTCTTTTAATCTTCCATTTTACGCTTCTATACATATATATGTATATAATATACCTGTGTATGTCTGCTTATACCTGTTTATTTGGTGCTTCCCGTCTGTCAGTCCCAGCTTACGCGAAAACAACGCTTGTACGCCGGATTCAGTAAACGAATTGAATTTAGTGCGTCAAAATAAAAAATGCAAGAGCTTTTTAATAAAAAGAGAGCAATGGATTACAGCATTGATTGAGATAGTAAAATTCAAGGAAATTCCGCATAGGGAAATTTCGAGTGAGTAATCAGTTTTTGTAGTTATTTGCATTTAAAAAATTTGATGAAAGCTTTCTATAACGGTTTATGGCTTACTGAATGCCGGAAGTAGCAGACATGAGCCTCAATTTTTATAGAACTTTTGATCATCAAATTAGATAACTAAATCTCTCAGATAATTGGAAGACGCCAAAATTCACAATTGGTTAGCTAATATCAAGACAAGAGAAATGGTAAAGGAAGCCCGCCTAAACGAGTAGATTATATATTGGAAAAATTATTTCATTTAAACTATGAATAGAGTCATTGAAACGTTTATAGGATAAACTTATGAAAAAACTATTACATTCGTAGAGGAAGAAAATATTGTTTATTAAAGCCAATTCACTTGGTACCAGATAATCGTGTAAAAATTCGGATATAGCCCCAATGGCTTCTCCTGCTTCAGACCTCAAGATAAGAGTCCTCGAAAGAAATCACTGCAACTAAGGCTTACAGTTTTTTGCCGCAAATGCGAGACATCAGTCCGCAAGCGGCGGATACAGAGAAATATCTATCGCTCATTTTGGATAGGAAGCTTTCATGAAAGCCAAATAACGAAGTTAGTGCCAAAAAGAAATCGATTGCTTTGTAATGCTGTAGAGGAGTCATTGGGGAAAGGTGGGGTCTCCTGCCGAGTGGTCCTCTGACTCGACTACACCATAGTCAAACTCATAACGTTCTATGAAGTCTTTATGTGGTGGAGGACTGCAGAAAAAACTACACTTGCAAAGAAACTCGAGAGTGTTCAACGGGCGGTGCACATCAGCATATGTGGTGCACTTAACGCCATTCCATTGCTGCGAAAGTTGCTATCAGACGCAGCGAATATATGTTCCTCACACAATTTAATATCAATATCAGAATTTCTCGGAGAATAAATAGATAATACAGTTACTAATTCTAAAATAAATATTTATTCATTTATCAATATTTAAAACATCATAATAAAATTTATAAAAAATTTTATAATACAGATATATATAAGCTAAACATAATTAGGAAACAAGCTAACTTAAGCTAATACTTTCTATGATCCATCCTAGGTAGGAGCTAACACGCGTGTAAACTCCTGGTATATTAGACATACCACACTTTGTCGGTCCGAAAGCCACAATACCCAATAAAGTATGGCGTCCGCTGGTATTTATGAGACCCGAGGAACCATCATCCATGAACGGACCACCACTGTCACCTTGAGGATAAAAAGCAAGAGTACATATTAATATTTTATTTGCAGAACCACATTGATGTCATTCATATTATTTCATCAATATTAACTGGCGTTGATCATTGCCAAAACAAAAATGACCAGACAACTGCGTACACTTTTTTATACTCTCGCAACAAAGTGGCTATTATAGTATTATAGTTTTGTTCACATAACGGTTGTTTGTAAGTCCTAAAACTAAAAGAGTGATATATAGGGTTATATATACCAAAGTGATCAGGGTGATGAGTAGAGTTGAAATCCGGATGTCTGTCTGTCCATCCGTCTACTTTTTTGTAGATATCTCGAAAGCTACTATAGCTATGTCAACCAAACTGTGCAGAGTCGTTTCTTTTAGGCATTTCCATATACAGTTCAAAAATGGAAGAAATCGGATAATAACCACGCCCACCTCCCATACAAAGGTTATGTTTAAAATCACTAAAAGTGCATTAACCGACTAACAAAAAACGTCAGAAACACTAAATTTTACGGAAGAATTGTCAGAAGGGAGCTGCATCCAGGCTTTTTTAAAAATTGAAAATGGGMGTGGCGCCGCCCACTTATGGACCAAAAACCATATCTCAGGAAGTACTCAACCAATTTCAATGAAATTCGGTATAGAATATTTTCTTAACACCCTGATGGCATATACCAAATATGGATGAAATCGGTTCCCAACCACGCCTGAAATCTCGATTATCAATTTATCATGCGAGAGTATGGCATAAAATGTACGGTGACACCCGAACTTAGCCCTTCCTTACTTGTTAAATATTTGCTCTTCGCACTCTTCAACAATTGTTGTCTGCATTGGCGGTCTGCATTGAGTACTCCATGCACTTACTAGGACACCCGTTATATCTATGTTTATGACGCGCTTGTTAATAATATTTTCATATTCCATATCGCATGTTATAATAGTCAAAGCTTCTTCATTATACATACGAATATTAGAATGGACATGATAAAGGCTAATATGGGAAACAAATATGGAGTTCTTTGCCAAAACCAACATTACTAAACCAAAAACCTCAATATTTACCACCGTATTGCTTACCTCTACAAACGTCATTCATTGGGCCACCCTGAGCACACAACTGTGAAGGCGTAATTACGATGGGTTCATTGAAATTCTCACTGAATTTCGCATAGGTAATTGCACACTCAGTCGTATTAACGATCGGCAAATTCAGATAACGCACCCGTGGACTACTTGTGTCGTTTCCTGAAATTAGATATTAATAAATAAATTTAACAATTTCATATTTAATTCAAAATTGAAGTTTCACACCATAAGACCAAAAAAATTAAATTAACACAAAATAATTAGAAATTCCAGGAAAAAATAAACTAAAAGCTAAATAATAACTAAAACCTTCAACATCCGCTGTCCAGCCGAGCGCTATACCAGGGCTGCCTATAAGCTGGTCACGTACAGAAGCCGATAGATTTGGTGGTAAGCAAATGGGTGTGTACTCTGATCACAAAACAATTTGTTGTTGTTGGAAATAAAAAGAACAGATTATTGATGAAAAATTATCATAAAGAAAATCATAATAATAAACTCACCATTGGCTTTGCCGACAATTTTTACCAATGCAATATCATTGGCGTACTTCGGCTGATCATAGCTGGGATGTACGCGAACTTCGGCGATTTGATAGATACGCGATGCAATAGTGCAATTATCGGTGTTGTTGGCAGTGCAATTTGGCGACAGTGCCACACCGCCGATGCGCACATAAGAGCTAAAGAGAAATTGTTGAAGTTTGAAGTAGACATTTGTTATACTCTTCAATTAGTATGAAGAATGTTCTGTGGGCTACTATACTCACAGTTGCAGATCGCTCACGAGATTTATGACGCAGTGCGCCGCAGTGAGAATATGTGATTGACTCACAACGGAACCGGAACAGCGGTAGCTGATGACATTACTGGCTGCAAGAATGTTTAAATGTTTTATTAAAATCCGGCAGCTTAATATTTTATGAGCAATAGCATTTTACATTCGTGCTATCGTAGAAGACACTAATAAAATTATTCTCTTAATGGGTAAATGTAAATGGGTAGAGTTATCTATATCGGAATGATCAGATTGACGACGAATTGATTTTTAAATGTAGGTACATAAATTCCTTGGAACACTCAAGAGTTAGTTATTTCATTCTGATGCAGAAGATCCCAGAAACTACTAATATAGCGACCAGGTTCAGCAGAAAATTTCCTATCCGGCATTTCTTAATACAGTGAGAAAACGAGTGTTAAATATGAAATATGTTCCAATTTATTGAAAGAGCCATATTTTTCTAAAGAAATATGCCAGACGTTGAATTTATCGATGCTTATATTTCGCTCTACTTGATCCCACGTGTCAAATGCAAAATAGTTTGCTTCAAATATGAAGGACTGAGTTGGTGCAAGGATATACTGCCCAGAATTAGACATAAGGCAGCATTTTAAGCGAACCATCAGACAGCAGGGGAAAGCATCGCAGGAACTTCACTTCTATCGGGTTCCAAGTCATAAAACCATCGAAGGCGATGGGATAGTGGACGAGATCGCCAAGAGTGGTGTACAGCTGTCACACGAAAACGTGATAGAGATTGGTAAGCCCGTATACTGTCTATACGGTAATCTGGGCAGAATAATCTGTTTAAAGCGATTTATTAGAAACTACTACTGACACTCGATAGAAAGGACTATGGTCACTGGTCACAGTCTGGTGGCGTAAAGGTCTGCAGAATGGGTTTGATATATCAAGAAGGCTGCAGAAAATGCCAGGAACTAGTGAAGCCACAGAGCCTGTTGAAAATCGCTTCAAGCGCAGGCATCCTAAAAAAATAGTACTCCTCGTGGACTATATTTCGGCGCTCCATCTGCTATTACTAAGGAACAAACTGGTCTATGCGTGACTCTTTAGTCTACCAGACTAACCTATATTTTTTGATTTAACGCTAAAAGTTTATGAAATCAGCCAAAATATAGGTTAGGTTAGTTTAGTCTTGTATGCTAAACTCCCAACTCTGATACAACGAACTTTCGATCAACTTGTTAATTGTAATCGAACTTAAATGTTCCTTGTGTTTTTATCTCAAATGATTTCTATTTCGTTAAATTTGGTTCTTTTTCATTCCAGTAATACTACAAGTTCAATATGACTGATACGGCCGAAGCCGAAGACAGCGAACTCAAAACTGATGTCAAAGAAGAAAAACCTACACTTATGACGAAGCTAACGAACTCCATTACTTCATTAACGAATAACAAAGATGGTCGTTTTCAAATGAGCGAGAACAATTGGTCGCTTTTAAAGTGCACGCTCGTCTTTCTGTTCGGTGTTGTGTTGACCAAGAAAATGCAGAAGGTGGTCAATGAAATTATGTGAAG